AGTCACTGAGATCAAGATGGTAGTTTCTAAAGCCCATGCACAGAAAGACTCCCTTCACAATAGGTCTTTACCTTATTCACATAAACTCACAGGTTTTGTCAAGAAAACGTTCCCTCCATGACAGATCCCTCACTTCTAGGGCAAACCTCTTTCAGGTACTGCACAATTATAGGAGAATCCATAAGATGTTGACAAGGCACCTTTGGGATGCCTTTTGAACTCTCCAGGGCACTTGTCCCTCGCAAGGGATGGAAACTAAAATCCACAGCTTCACTCACGTTGTACTTTGCGCTTCACACAAGCTGCTAGAATGATCAGAAAATTACATCCGCACCACCTGCTTCACTCTTGCTCTTCCCACATTTCCCACCTCATGTTAATACAAACACAGTAAAGAACAGATAGAGAACTAGCCCTTAGCCAGTGTAAAGAGTCAGTTCATGTCACCAGCTGTCACACTGCAAAGAATCAGCAGATACCACCATATGGACCTTTCCTCCTTCCTCCTCAGACCATAAACAATTCTTCCTTAAGTCAAACTGGAGTTACTTCTTTACTACATCCAAAGAATAAAGACTCAAATAATGAAATACAGAATCACAGATTCATATCTAGAAACATTAGCCATAATTGCAATAGTGGGAATTTAATATACCTCTGGATTTCATCAGGTTGGTGAACAGCCACCACCAATCTCTAAAATACATCAACACTTCTATTCACAACAGGTTTTATTATTTGGTTAGATCTAATCCAGCAACTCTCATCTGTCTGGACTCAGAGTGTCTCACCAGACACTCAGGACTTGAGCAGGTTTCACACACCCATGCTGCATACTGTCAGCTGCAGGACAGGACAGCCAAATGTCTTTAGTTAAAACAGTCACAGAAACGATGACAACAATTCCTCATTTTTTAGCTCAACCTGTCATTCACCTTTGCATCAAACAGCTCCAAGGTACAAAAAGTAGAAAAAGCTTTTAGTGTACCTTTAAGACAATATTGTCCCTATTTCCTTTTTCATTACCTCTTAGAGTGGAGAACTCTCTCGTGTTCATCACTATTCAAACTTGTTTATGATGCCTACATATCTAAAACAGAAAAGCAGAGGCATGCAAGGCACAGGATTTGCATAGTACAAGATCTCCAGGTGTTGCTCTCTAGAAACACAGATTGCTGCAAGTGGTAAGGCAGATGAACCAGGGGTGATCCTCAATGGCCAGAAGCCTGGCCATGAGAACATCTTCTAATGACAACACATTTATAAAGGCAGGTCTTGCTAAGCGGACAAGGAGCACTCTCTTAACCACCTTTGAAAACACCACCTTTGAAGAAAAAAACTCATTAATTCACACTGATTACTACACAGTAGTTTTGGACAGATACCTACCGTGGTAGGAGAATGAAACAGTAATGGCACCTGGGTAGTGCCATGACAGAAATTCAGTCTTTGTTGTGATGAGAGCCTTTGCCCTCAATCCCATGTTCCTTCTCAACCATGTCAGTGTTTTACAATTTCATATAGAAATGAGTATCACTGAAAAGGAAGGAAGGAAGGAGACACACATGATGTGTAATGTGCTGTTGCCCAGTGGGCATAAAAGAAACACACATCAGGCATTTCCCATTCTCCTCCATCCAGTGATATGCATGAATCCTAATACTGCACCAGCACTGAGAACAAATCATTCCAATTAGCCAATAGGTACTGGTTGAACACTGCAGGAGTATAGCATGGAACCCAGTAAGGAAGAGTTTCAAATTAAAATCCACTACCCTGCTCATGTGTAAGCTCATGAGCAACAGAGAGACCAGTCCCTGGATCGCTCTGACAGGTGGATTTCATCCGCATGAGCAAAGTGATGGGTATGTCCTCTGTTATGAACATGAGCTCGGTGATATGACGGCAGGGAACCATCGCTAGCCCTATGCTACAGAAAGAAGTCTGCTTAAGTTTACCCCACTTTTTGTCAGTGTTAGATGAGTGAAAATATATGGTCTGGTTCTCCATACACTCACACAATTTTATGCAGCTGTTACTACATTTTCAGTGAAAAAACTCCTGATTTATAATCATTGTAAGTAGGAAGAGGATTAAGACTAAAATATCCCTAGTGAAATAGGTGTTCAAAGAGTTTAGTGAATAATTTGCTATGAATAATTCATTTGAAAAAAATGGTATTTTTCCCTAGTCCTGAAAAGCCCAAGAACGGAGTGTGAATGTTTAACAATTATATGATACTTGCAATTATTTGTGATATTTTACATCAAGTAATTTGTGGTCTACACATAAATCAAATAGGAAATTATGATTATTAAATAAAATACAGAATTTACAACTCCCGTAACAAATTATGTCTTTCATCTAATTTATGTAATGAGCTTAGCTAGTCTGCCCTTCATGGATTTCAAACTGCATGTTCAATATTTGCAATTATCTGTGCAGGTGGCAGCTACATAAGTCATCTGATCAGTAACAGAAACACTACCATGTGGGATGCAGTCAAAATAGCAAAACCAGCACATTTTATAATTTCAAAAAATTCAGAAAATACTGAAGCATGCAGTTAAAATTTACAGCTGAGTCTTTTTTGTTCAAAAATACAGGGGTAGGAAACTCTTCCCCTCTTCAGTAAGCACTACTGTCCTGAGACATAGATGGGAGAGGTGGTGCGAATGTGAGGTACTGCTTGTTCTTTATTTTTGTTCAGAACATTAAGTGTGTTGCTTAATGTTTTTAATAGGTAAGCAGCACTGATGTGTTGCCTGAGGTTTGTCACTGGGGCTGGAGAGGGAATGGGATGCAGCAGGAGAACAAGCAGCTTAGCACACATGAAAGAAAGGCTGAGGAAAGGCATGGACATTGACAGCCAGTCGAGACAGCTTGAAAGAAGATTTGGTCCGATTTTCACTTTGGGTAGGATTCCCCGTATTCCCCTTTTTGAAAAACATTTGAAGGTAGGATGTGAAAAACTAAATGCTGTTGATCAAATCACCCTAATGATAGTTGCTTATCCCCAGTTAGACCAAACTGTGGTCTCACTGAAACCTATGGGAGCTTGGTCTTTAGTTGGGATGGAACCAGGATTTCACACTTGATCCTTACAATCACGGTTGTGCTCTTCCTTTCGGTTCTTGTTAAACTGTCTTACTAGGACCTCTTCCTTCTAAGTCTCACTGCTTTATGTCTCAGCCCCATTACTCCTAGATATTTTTATACAAGTCTGAAATAAGCCCAAATCTGACAAACCAAGTTACACTGGCTGTTAGTGCTCATTATAACAGGCTGTCTCTTGTTGTTGGTGTTGGATACTCTGCAGAAAAGAATGAAAGAGGCTAAAGAGCACCACAGAGCATGCTTAGAGCAAACAGCCCAATGCAAATATATATATATGACAGCAGCTAAAGTGATTCCTAAAAAGTTTGCCCTAGGTTTGGCACAGTGAAGCATGACTGTCAGCGATGGGTATGTCCTTACCATGGGAAAGCAGCTCCACTAAACTGTAGTGCTGCCTACCACTTCTAGGTTGTCTGAAACACTGAGAAGGAGATAGCAATCTATTAGAAATACAAAATAAAAAATAAGTGCTTTGAAAGTATACTCAGATAACAGATCAGCCTCTCCTATTACCTGCTGTCTTCTTCCATTAACAACCCTATGAGTTCTGGACATGTTTTCCTTTACAGTTCCTATTTTTATTGTCATCGTTTTCCCTCTCTCACCTCCTTATGTTCTCTTACCACTTTTTTCAGTGGTGAAGATGACAGTTTTTACATCTGAGAGGTACTGAGAGGACCAAAAATTCCTATTCAATCACTGAAATAACTGACCTGATTTTCCCCTGCACATACAAATCTTTTGTTGCAGATGGAAATTATTCTGATGATAGTCCTATTTTCATCCATGTAATACAGTTAAGGCTACGGAGGTTTGTGGTATTATGTGCAGATTAAATTGGTGAGTTAAGAATGAGTCTAGTTATCTGCATTGTGGTAATGATGTCTCCTCTGTGGTCTTGGATGGTACCTCCTTAGTTATTCCCTGCACAGAACTGTGTCTCCATCTGCACTTGTAACTCCTCCCTTCAACCCACTTCGTCTCCTTTGTGAAGCTATTTCATCAGAGCCTGTTGTAACCCCTTATCATGAGCACATGGGTGAAATTTGAGAAATGGGGTGCTGGTTGCTCCATGGGCGGTTCCCTCCCCCCACTTGCATGCGCCCTATCTCGGTAAGACTCCACAGGCCACACTCCCTCAATCTGCTAGTTGCTCTTTTGCTTTGAAGAAAATTGGCAAGTCTACCAGAGCAAAAAGGCAAGTTTTGTTTGCCTTAAACATTAAAGACAACAGAACGGTAAATACTGCCAATTTTAACGCAGAACTAGTACCTTCACTTTTGTTTCCCTCACAATTTGAATGAAAAGCAAATGATGTTCTGCCTGTGAATCAAAAATTCTCCTACTTGACTAAGTGTGTCTGATACCATGATAATGAAAATACTGGTGAGTTTGAAGGCAGTACTGAAATGCATAATGCTAGAAACACAAGCTTATTTTTTTCTAAGTAAGAAGGTGCTTTAATAGAAGTACTTTGATGAAGGACTAATTGCCTCTATGTGATGACAGTTGAAAAAAGATGTTTTAAGCAGCTTCTTATTCAGAAATTAGTAGCCAAGATCAATAAACAAAACATAAAATGTAGGCATATTGTTGATGCAGATATTGATGCAGATAATGTAGGCATAATATTGCCATAACTGGTGAAAAAAGCTGATGAAATAGAATAGCTGATGTTAATTCTATTGAGGCTGACCTCAAGTAGCTAGTGTTCAACCAGTTTGGTTTTTATATGGCCTTGAAAGATATGCCAACTATAGCTGCTAAATCCATATTGCAATTAGAAATGGTTACCTTTGTTGATCAAAAAAAATATGAAATGGAAGAAAAGAAAAATAACATACCATGTTTACACACAAAACAAAAAGAGCTACATCAGGGACATCAGGGAAGGTGGAATACTATAACAACACATTTTATATTGTTATACTATTCCACCCACCTTAATGGAGAACCCTTCGGTGTGGCTACGCCATAGCCTTTCGAATCCAGATTTCCTCCCACTTTCATGGTGTCACATGGCTTTCGTTGCTCAATGTACTCATTCATGGTGGACTCCAGCAGGAAGGCAAACTTGCCCTTGGATTTGCGGACACGAGCTACTCCCTCTGCTGTAGTCCTAGTGAACACTGATGGCTCTGCTGATTTCATGTAGGTCCACATCTTTTCATACACTGCTATTTTTGATCTCTGGAGAAAATTAAAAAGGAGTTAGAACAAGAGAATGTTGCAACATTTCAGAATGGCACTGTTTAAAATAAAATCAATCATACTTAATATTTCAAACAACTGGGTTGAGAAAAACATACTTGGATAAGAATTATCTTTGAGTTCCATGATTATTTAAAAAGAAACAAGAAATAACAATATCAATACTATAAAATCAGATACTATTTTTAGGCTCAGTTAGCCTCCAGTAGTCACAATAAAATAACTGCAAAGCTAAGACCTGAATTTTCTGTTAAATAAAGGCAGTTCACACAGTCAAAGTGTTGTAAAGTGTGTTTTAGGAGATTATGTATGAAATAGATATCCATGATAAACCTGTATGGGAAAGAGAAACAATAAAATAATCTCCCATAAATATTGAGCTGACTCTTGAAGCATTTCCCAGCTCTAACACCCACTTCTTACACCATCAAAAGCACAATAGCTTAAGTAAGAGTTCTGCTTTCAACATTCAGAGTCCAGAAATCATTCAATTTACATTCAGAAAGGCTGCACAACATTTCATGACATGGTTCACAACGAAAGACGGAAACAGCAAATTGGACCACATATGCTATTAAAGAAAACAAAATGCCCTAAGCATTTGTGTTAAACAAGTATTAAGTATGTTTTCAGAACTGCAGTATCAGTGGATTTATTTTAAAGACTCTGATCCTGCAAGTAATTGAGTAGGAAATGTGCTTGCTCAAAGAATGTACAAGAATTCATGGCTTAGAGCGCGTTAGTTGGAAATTTGCCTGTCTGGGAATGCATGATGTAACCACGAGTAAAGAATTAAGCAAAAATAAAACTTAACAAAAAATAAAAACAAATAAACATTTTCATTGGAAGGGAGGAAGGAAATGCTGTCAGGCTGAGAAGCTTCCCATGGTCGTTAGATTTGTTCAACAACTCCTTTGCTTCCTCCAGCAACAGGGATACATACATGCAAACCAGCAGCGCGTCAGCTGAACACTATAGTGTTTTTATTTAATAACAGATGGCAGTTTTCTTCTCTTATGTATGCTGCAAAAGGGACTTTTTAACCCGGTGCTCATCTCAGCTTTTATTTGAGTCAACAGGAGTTTCTAGATAAGTAGAATTTGGTCTGTGAGCCCATTCCTACACTGTGCTGAGCACTCCAGGAAAATATTCATTATTATAAAGCCCCAAAACAAAGGGCCTTAGAATATTTAAACAAATATCAAGTCCTATAATCTAGGTATTATTTAAATTGACAATGACTTTAAAAAGCCTGCAACTGAGCCTTTGTATAGGTAAGAGTAATTTCCCTGAAGCACTTCTTTTTACCAATTACTGAATGATTGGTCTAACTTAAAAGTGTCATTTAACCAAAAATGTTCAATAAAAATACCATATAAGAGAACACGATAAATTATCCTTTCTTTTTTAGCTTGTCTTTATGCATTATTTTATCTTTCTGTCAAATATAGTAAAACTTAAATTAACAATAGATGTGCCTTGTCACCCTCTTTTCACTGGAGTCACAGCTACTTTTCATTTACATAATAGTGGCTGAGTGCAGAGAGTAAGCTAAGCCACCCATGTATTCTTTTTGCTTTATGCTGATGTAATTTCACGGCTTTAAATTTACAGAAAGAAAAAAAAGGAAGAGAGCAGGCATTCAAGAATATTTACTTGCCTTTGTCTGCCTTCACTTCCAATCATTTTTTTACATCTTAACATCCATATCACCAGATTCTTTATAAAGTAAACATCTAATAGGTCACGTTCCTTCAAAACTAAAAACATGCAACACATAAAATAGCTCTATTAGTAAGAGGAAACAATGCCCTATAACAATTGAAAAAGGTTGCATTTTAATCTGTTTTTTTAAAATCAAGTTTCCTTTGCCCATCAAGAGACAAAAAAATATGGCAAGTCTAACAAGGCATCCGCTCTGTAAGAACATTTTTTTCTCCCAGGCTTTCATTTCTTAACATTCAATTTCTACATGTCAACCTAGAGTGAAAAGTGAAGAGTGAGCCAACAGATATTCCTCATTATCATATGAGGAAACATTGCAGCTTTCCCTGCAGTCAGACAGGCTAGGATAATTTTTATTTAGGACTTTTCTGAGTAGGACTGCTAGAACTAAGTTCTTTTCCTCTTGAGCAAGCTGCTCGGCAAATGTAACTCTCACTGTGTCCAAAACAGGAAATAAGTAAATAGCTAATAGTATCAGAGTCTTCTTTTACTTTATGTTGGCTTTAAAATGACTTTTCCTTTTTCTGTTTTTAATCTGGAATCAAAACTGATTGATCCAGACAGACTGAATTGTTGTTCAGAGTTTCTGACATTTTGATCAGAAATTATCAAATTATAAGAAAATGTCCTGAAGGCTTATCTTCAGTCAGATAGTAATCAATGACAGAAAAGTTACACATGACTCTAATCCTAAAACCGATGATGTTTGTTTCCAACCACACAAAATGCTAGACTTGGGAAACAAGTCTTCTCCTACTATTGTTTCAGGCTAGGTCTTAATTTACATATTATGCAAACAGTGTTTGTGCAAATGTTGTCTGTCAACAGTATTTTATCTTTGTCCTTATTTTGTGAAAAATATTTTTAGAAATAGCACATGCAATATCATTAAAATCACTATACTGTTCCAGAGATTAGAAGTTATTTGATAGCAGGGCCTCAATTACACCATTTTAAAAAAAGTGACGAACACAGTCTAAGTTGTGATGAAACTTCAAATTTTGCATATGCAACTACATTTAGTATTTGTAGTTACTTTTAATGTTTTCCTATGTATTTTGAACTAAAGGAAAAATATAAAGAGAACATTGATTTTCCTTCTTTTTTCTCTTAGTCGTTTAAGATTAAAGTGAAAGAACGGCTGTCATTATAGATGGAGAAGGAATTGTCTCTTCAAGGAGAGATCTTGCATGAAATATTGATTGAAACAAAAACGTATCTGTTACACTACGATTTAAAAGAATCATGAAATTTTTGTGACCAAGACTGTTTCTATACCAAAAGACCTGACCTCATTACTGCACAACAATGGCTTATAAAAGTGTTTCGAAACTCTTAAGAAAACTCCATTCCTTTGTTCTCTACTATTTCCTTGGGAATTAATTTTTGCATCATCAACTAAAAAAAATTGCAAGTCCTGGATACTCTTGAAAACGCAACAAGTTAATAAACCCAAAGTTAAATAATCTGCCTGGTTCTCAGCATCATGTTTTTAACTATCATCAAAGCTTCAATCTAGTTGAAAGAACTATTTGTACAGATATATTGTGGTTAGCACCTCAGCTTGTGATGGACTGAAACTGGAATTCTCAGTATTAAATGCCTAACTTTCCACAAAGTGAGCTAAAGAAGAATCTATGGGTTAAGCATTGATGAATATAAATAATGAGTATTGACGGATTATACCCTTTTCAAGAAAATAGGAAATCTGGCCATCTCAGGATCAAAATATTTCTATTCGCAGACAAGTCTCCTATATCTTAATGCCACCATTTTTGTAGACAGGTGATGTGAAATCAGCACTTCTGGGGAGCACAAGCTGAGTTTCTACCACTTGGGGTAAAAAGTAAGCTCCTAGAGAGCATCTGTAGTGTCATACTTAGGTGTACACCAACACCCTGGCTATAGAAGATGACAGGTGTAATTAGAAACCTGTCACTGAACTGTATCTATTAAAAAATGAGTTACCAAGCACCCTAGCTATTTCAGTGGGATCCCTCTAGAGTTGATGCAAAGAGAAAGATACTTTAAAGGGTGATTTATTTCAACATAATATACTTGTCCTGTACAGGATGCACAGGAGTTCTTTTCTTTCTCCAGTGTCTACAGAAGAAATTTAGGAAACTGGCTTAACTCCTTGGACAGCTTCATTATGTGAAGGCTCAACCACTGTGTGTTGGTTAAGTGCCATTTATATCTTATAAGGCATCATCTTTTTATACCTAATAGAAAATATTTGCAAGTTCTTCTACGGGGATGTCACTTGCAATAAAAAGGTTATTTCACTACAGACCTTTTGGAGGTCACTCAGCAGCTTCCATTGAATTGATGCTGCCTATAGTTCACAAATCCCATCCATCATTTTGTCATGATTCACTGAGTTCAGTTTGGCCAAACTGAAAACAGTCAAGGTGCGTGGGAGTATCTAACACAGAACAGTCCCCGTTCAATTAGACAATAAGAAGAAATTATCACTCCATCTCCCTTTCTTCTAAAAATGCCTTAAACTGCACCTTTCAGATAAATAATGCTCCTAAACTGTGTAATTTCCAAGGAAGGATTACTGTCTCCCAGCATTTGTTCAGAGCCATGTTCAAACACTAAACTCACACAAGTTCAGACAGCTAGGCTTAACTTTCATTTGCTAGAGCACGAAATAAAGCAGGAGGGACTGTTTATGAGGTACCCCTTGTGATGTCCAGGCTCCCTGTTTTCCAGCTGGCAAACGATGAGGATTACATACCAACTACACCAATACAGGAAAGCAAATTAAAATGAAGTAATCAATACAGACAGCACAGACATATGAATGGCTACTTAGGCTATTTCCTAATGCTCCAACCACATCCCCCCGAGATACATTTTCTCTTTACTATTCATCTGAAAGCCAGCAAATTAAAAAATGCATTCCCTGCCCACCACCCAAGACCCTAAAGCAAAATGCACACAGCCAAATCCGTAAGTAGAAACAAAACCTGCAAGACTCCATGTTATCATCACAGGCTTTCAGTGCTGCACATCGTTTCAGCACTGTAGGTTCAGATGAATCAATAGTGCAATGCTGCTTTAATTATCACTGGCTTTAGTATCCCTCGGGGCACATCTTTTGCCCAATGTGACAGGATCAATAAGCTTTCCACAAATTAAAATAACTGAAAAATCCAACAAATGGTGTTGCGGGGGTAAAAACGTAAAGTACTGCAGGAGTTACAAACTATAGTACATGTAATCGCAAAGTAACATTATTTCACCCTTCCCAAGCATCTTGTAAGAGCAGCCGGTAAGGAGAGCTGCTCTAATGGACATGCCAACTTACTCTGAAGAACTCTTTGGTTGACCCTGAGTCCAGTGTCCCATAAGCAATTTCAGTTTGTTTGGCAAGGTCTTCTGCACTTTCTATGGGCGAGACCATTCGCTCAACAGTCAAGAAAGCAGCGAGGTTAGCAGTGTAGGATGAAATAATGATGAGCGTGAAGAACCACCAGACACCTCCAACAATGCGACCTGAGAGGGATCTAAACATGAATAAGGTAATGCACATCTTCCTGTCTCTTAAGCCACGCAGACAGAGAGAGAAAGAGAGAGGGCACCATTATTGCTGAACATGTATCATCAAGTAACAGTTAATGGGAGGGAGATCATTTGCATTTTAAATACTAATAAATGCCTTTTCTCTTGAATCTTAATGCCTACAGTACGGAGTCCACTGTATTAATACGTATCACACACATATTCTCTTGAACAGTAATTCCAGTGTTGTTGTTATTTCAGGAAATGCTTAACATAGCAAAAATTTTGTCAAAAATACTGGATAGGTGATCTCTTTTTGGAGACAAAAGTTAAGCATGGTAGCTGCAGATCAGTAGCTTCCTCTGTTTCCTCTTAAAAAAAAGACACAAAAGGCTTTGTACATGGATTATGTTGGCTCTAGGATTAAAATGTTCCTGTCATCTGAATTTAACAAACATTCCACAAGCTACTGCAATCATTTGAACTTTCACATTTTTCTTTTTTAAGAAGCAAGCACTTTGTGGTAACAGAGTTATTTATGTTATGTAAAAAAATATATGTTTCCCATTTGAATACCTGTAATTTGATGAGAAGGCTGTTGAGGAGTAATGTACATCCAGTCTTAATCAGTATCAGTTTTATTGCTAACTTCAATAACAGCAGAGTTAGGCCAATGCTGAACACTCTCAAAATCTCACTGAAAATGGCTAAAATGAAGCATTGAGGTTTGAAAGACTGGGACATAATATTTGATAAAGAACTTGTAGTTACTGCACACTAAAGTTCCAGAGTATCTTAAAAGGTTGACAAATTCAGGACTGGGATACTATATTAGATCCGAGGCACCCACTCCGTAAGGCATAGCTTAGCAATGCAGCGTGGCCTCTCGGAAACAGACGGTCAAATGCTCTCTCATAAACAGTGATATTCTGGAAGCAGCGCTGCAGAACTTGATAGGGAACACGAAGGGGACATCCGTTCATGCAAAGCAAATATTCAGCACGATAGTGTGCATTTCATAAAGCGTAAATGCAATGGAACTAATTTAGCAACAACATAGTTCCTCTGAAGTCAACTCAGTGGAATTGCCCCTGTGTGTACATGCTGTTTCTGAGACCTGTTTGTGGTTTATGCACATTGACATATGTAAAAAAACAGCAATGACTGACATTCCATGCAGATTCTCTGTTGCCCTTATCATAGCTATTAAAAAAGAAAAAAAATCAAAAGGCTTCCTAAAGAATGAACTTCAAAACACTGCTAGGAAAATAAACAAAGGAAGATTTTATGCTTCAGTGTTGAAGATAAAATGCAAATATAAAAAGATTTGACACAAACCTTGGGGAAATATCACATCCTTGTTGCATAAAGGCACCCAGGGAAAACCAGAGGCTGTTGAATATGCCAAACTCATTGGGAGGCTGGTCACTGGGTCCTTCTTTGCCATCCTCTGGTTCTTCTGTGTGCCACTCATATGGGCTAAACCTGCTAACTAGGAACAGGACCACACTGACACCAATGTAGGCAAAGACTATGCACATCCAGATCTCATACGCCAAAGGGTCCAAGAAGGAAAACACTCCCGGTTTAGATTTCTGGGGCTTTTTGATCATAATGGATATCCCCAAACTCATAAAAGGCTTAGAAAAATCAATGACCTCTTCTCGTACCAAAGTGATGGTCAGAGGCGCAACAGCAATCTCTGCTTTCTATAAAGAAAAAAGAAATATAGATGTATAGATTAATTTGAGTTGGCTTATACACTCAGCTAAGCAGCTAATTCCAAACGTATGTCACTAACATCAGGACACTGTGGCTTAAATGTTCTTTATAACGTCTTTATCTTTCTTTCTATCACAGTCTATATTTACTCAATATGCTTGTAGTAAAACATACATATTGCTGTTTTTTATTTTACATAATTATAGAAATACTTAATTTTCCTGCTAAGGAGAAGACTCTTAAATCTTATAGATGCGGGAAGCAGTGTAGGTAGATCATTTTAGGTATTAATTTAGATTTAAAGTAACTGAATTCAAGGAAGAATGAAAAATGAGAACGATCCTATTGTCAGTGAAAGTATAGAGACTTTTTTATAAGATCCCAGAAACAGTCACTTATTATCATATTTTCATTCATTTCAAACAATCATTCTTGAGGAAAAACAGCTCATAGGCTCAAGGAAGTTCCAAATAACATGAAGCAGCAAAGGTGATTAATTATTGCCATGATGCCACAAAACTGCATGCAGTTTTCTTGGTGGAAAGGTAGTTCAAGAGGAACGAATCAGATCTTAAACAGTGGAAAAAGGCAAGTATACAGAAAACAGCTGTGCAAAATCACGCGATAAAAGGATAAAAAGTGTGCTGAATCCATTCCCATTAGAGATAGGAATAATTTTTAAAATGTTTTCTCTAATCTGTTTTTAGAATGAAGATGCCAGTCTTGAATGAGTCATTACTGATGATGACAGTGATTATGGTGGCTAACAATGATCCTTCCATGAACTGTAAGGTATTACAGCTGGGCTAATGGGTCATTTCTGTCATTAGGGACTCAACATTACATTAAGGTTTACTCCTTGCTTTGCCTTGTACGCTAAAGCTGTCATTACAGCAGCACTTAAGATGGGAATTGTAAGAGGAACTGTGACAAAAGATGCACCTGCAGAGGGAAACGGATGCAGAAGCTGCTGAAACCTTTCTCCTGTTCATCATGGCGGTGCTGTACCTAGTTGTATCTAGCCTGTGACCAGCACGGACTTCTATACAGCTTATGGGCTAAGGAGGTAACTGAACACATTCTGAGAACATTTTTTTTTTGGTTGCAGATAAGGCAGACTCACCACTTGCCTTCGCCATTGGCACTACTCTGCTTCAGGCCTCAGTATGTGAGATACTCTGCCTGTATTTACCCCACCCCAGGCCCAGTCATCCTCACAGACACAACTAAGATTTATTCATAAATCTCCACAATAGCCCTGTCATAGTTTTCTTTTCTAAATACTTAGTTGGCCCAAATCCATCTTGTGGGGTAGCATCTTCAGATATAGTACGCAGACCATAGTTTAGCAAAGCATTCAAGCATGTGTGCCTTTTAGGATGTTCTTAAGAACATTCATACTCGGTAAAATATACAAGGATATATTTAAATCCCATCAATTTCAATGAGATGAAAACATGCTGAAAATTAAGGATGTGCTTAAATAGTTTAATCCAAGTGTTACATAAATAGCTTGTGTGATAAAAAAATAAATTGAAATGTAGGCTTTTTTATCATCTTACAGTTTTGACAGATAAATGCATTTAAAATAATGTTTTTGCTATTTTATTCACTAAGTTATACTGAGCTATATATACTTTATGGAATTTAATTTAAAACTAATTTAATATAGTTAAAAGTTAAACCTGTTTTGGTAGCTGTATAATTTTGAATAATTCAAAAGAACTGACTCATTCTAGTGCAATGGCCCCAAAATGCAAATTTGTATTAAAATTGCTATATATTAATCATCAGATCATATCCGTCATTCTGAAATAATTGTGAAGCAAACAGTTATCATCATGATTTTATGTAAAGATATTATAGTTTAAGGAACACAATTAAAATAATAATTTTGCAAGTGTATCAGGCATCTCTGGTGCTAATGTCTTGGGTAAACATTATGATAATAGTGCTAATTCTCTAAATTTTAATGTAAATTTTGTAATACAAGGCATTTTTAAAAATTTGGCTTAAGTCTCATGATTACATAAGTCTGACTGAAATATATATTTTATGAAGAAAAATAACATGTCTAAAATATATTTTTAAGTATCCTGAGAATTTTCAAGTAAATTTGGGTTCTGTAGTCTAAGGATTGTACGATAGTTTGGGCTATTGGCATTGGTGCATATTTTTGTATTTCATCTCACTCATGAATTCCTTTTTTTCTAGAAGGATGCTTTCCTTCCTTAGTCAATGTCTTTTATACTCCTAAATTTCAGCTACTATGAACACATAATGTGGAGTCCTTGAAATGAATTAACTGAAAGACTCGAGGGAATAGCAATCTATTACTGCTAATCTTCTCTGTATTTGTCACATAGTGATATCTTCCTTAACACGGTGTAAACAATAGGCCTTGTCATTGGTCTTCAAAAGTGTTGGCTAACGCTTCATTTTTCGTGTCTGCAGATTGCTATTGGGATTAAAACAAGGATCCTTAAGGGTGGTTAGTTTTTACGATGTGAGGTAGAAAAGTGACAGCACTGTTTCAGTGTGACTTGTGAAGATTTTAAAGACCTAATTAGCACACTGCCTACACTACTTTAAAGAGTTAAAGAGAAGAGATAGGAACTTATCCCATTTCATTATGACAGTGATCTAATGTCAGATGATTCATAGTGTAGTTAAACCTGTTTCATGCCAATGAATGTAAAGGGACAGTATATAGGTCACAATTAGATGCCAAAGAATTGGAAAAAGTGCAGCCTCCCCAGTCTGATCACAGATGGCGTTAAATCCGGCTGGCGGCCGGTCA